GTATAGTTTAGGCAATGTTCGGTGTTTCGTTTAACCGTTGCCGTTTTATACGATTTCCTCGAGTTCTTTCCGAGAAAACGAAGTTTTACGGTTTTTATCGTAAAACTCGAATGGTAAGTCGGATCGAGGTGGAACGAGAGATATTTCGACCGTGGTTTAGAACGCAACCTTGTCGAGAGACGTAAGTTTTGAATCAGGAATGCGGGAAATCGAGATGCGGAGTGTTCGGGAAGTTTTTAGACCGCCCATCGGCGATCTAAGCCGGACCCGGCTTAGATCGCCGATGGGCGATCTAAAGATGGGCGATCTAAAGATGGGCGATCTAGGGAGTGTTTCTTAGAGACCCGCCTTAGATCGCCGATGGGCGATCTAAGGAGTGATCCTTAGATCGCCGATGGGCGATCTAGAGGATGTGTCTTAGATCGCCCATCGGCGATCTAAGCCGGGTCCGGCTTAGATCGCCGATGGGCGATCTAAAGAGTGACCCTTAGATCGCCGATGGGCGATCTAGAGAGTGTTTCTTAGATCGCCCATCGGCGATCTAAGCCGGGTTTGGCTTAGATCGCCGGTGGGCAGACTAGTTGCGACTAGTTCGCGTTTCACGGCTTTTTCGGTTTTTTGCGGTTTTGTAAAACGATTTCTCGAGTTTTATAAAACGACTTTTTAGTTTTATAAAAACGATCTTCGAGTTTTATAAAATGATCCTCGAGTTTATAAAACGGTTTCTCGAGTTTTATAAAGCGATTCTCGAGTTTTATAAAACGATTTCTCGAGTTTTATAAAACGGCTCTCGAGTTTTATAAAACGATTCTCGAGTTTTATAAAACGACTTTTTAGTTTTATAAAAACGATCTTCGAGTTTTATAAAATGATCCTCGAGTTTATAAAACGGTTTCTCGAGTTTTATAAAGCGATTCTCGAGTTTTATAAAACGATTTCTCGAGTTTTATAAACCGGCTCTCGAGTTTTATAAAACGATTCTCGAGTTTTATAAAACGATTCTCGAGTTTTATAAAACGATTCTCGAGTTTTATAAAACGATTCTCGAGCTTTATAAAATGGTTTTTCTCGAGTTTTATAAAACGATTCTCGAGTTTTATAAAACGATTCTCAAGTTTTATAAAACGATTCTCGAGCTTTATAAAACGATTTCTTGAGTTTTATAAAACGATTCTCGAGCTTTATAAAACTGTTCTTTTTGTATTCTTGCGGAAATTTTGGCTATTAATTCCGTCGTACCGATTTTGACCCCAACACTTGTTGTAGCGCTCAAACACAGAATCGGAATAAGACTTCTTCTTACTCTCTTTTTAATTCGTATTCATATGATCATATTTTTACTTCTTTTTCTTGATTGCTTAGCGTGTGGTTCAATAGATAACCGGGACCTCTGGGAAATTACAGTTTACCCTACCTTCCTAATTCAACGGAAATCGACAGTGAGAGTTTTGGTTCCCATAAGTATGCACACAAAGTTAAGTTAGAGGCTTAAAACAAGCTCACTTGGGAGGAAGTCCCATGTTTATCCATTTTATATATTCTTTATCTTCTTGCTTTAGTGTGTTTGATAAGTATTGTTGAGGTTTTTCAGGTTTGGTCCAGAGATCATAAGAGAGGGAAGGCGGCCAAGCAGTGCTACTCTAAACACCCATTACCACACCCCAGTCTCCACTTAAGGTACCCCTCCAACCTTTCATTGTAGATACCATTACTTTTATCATATTTTTGATATCTCCTTCTCTCTTTCTTACAGAGAGACTCTCTTTCTTATACAGAGACTGTGTGATTTAATTTTGGGGGATGTACCAAGTATTTGATGATTTGGAGTCTCATGCACTGCATTGTTCCTACTTGTATGCATAGAAAAACAAAAAAAATGAAAATTTGAAAAATACAAAAAGAATCATGTAATTGCATCACTTGCATTCTTAGGATTGAGTCTAGAGTATATAGGCTGCATTCACTTGCATATGGAGCCGCTCTTGAAAATGCCTTGTACAGAACACTTGTTTGCATCTCTTTAAAGCTTTGCATGCTTGGAGCCTTGAAAACTCTTCAAGTAGCTTAGGAATCTCTTTAAAGCTTTGCATGCTTTGAGTCTTGAAAACTCTTCTTGAAACATGTTTGCTTGCTTGATATTGGCATTGTTCTTAAAACCAGCTCCAACCTAAATTTAGACTTGAATGAACTTGATCCCTCTTGCATATGGGCACTTGCATACTTAGTCATAAATCTCATACACATTTGGGTTATCTTTTTCCATTTTACCAATCTTGGCACTCCATACCCTTGAACCCTAGCCATTCCTTCGAGACCAAACATTGATTTGCATGACTGAGGTCTCTTTTGATAGCTTGTCATCTGCAAAATCTTGAGAGTATTGGAAGTGACATAGATTTGTTCTCATCTCTTGCTAGCATATGAACCTCATTGAGCTAGCATCTAGGATGGTGAGTGAGTTTATGTGCTCTAAAGGTTTAATGTCTTGGGTTTGGGATGTGAGAAAGTTGAGAAAGATGAACAAAAGAATGTCATGAGAAAAGAAAAACACTAGGGACGAAAGAAAAGAAAGGAAAAAAAATAATTCAAGAAGATAGTGGGTAAGGGAAAATAAAAAGATTTAGAGCTAAGAAGTGTTAGAGCTAGGGAAGATAAAAAGAGTTAGAGCTAGGGAAAAAAAAAATCAATAAGATAGTGCTGACATCAATACTATTGAACCATGAAACGATAATAATCATCTCTCCAAATCCGACGCGAAGATCAAAGCCAAAACTTCACCAAGATCATCAAGTGAAACGATCAGCCCCGGAAGAAAGAGACGACGTGCCATCATAGTTCTCAACCCCGTCCTTTCTTTGATCTCTATAAAAAATTGATCCAAGGCTTGTAAGCACGAAAACGGATCCATTTCATGTTCCGATACCGAAACAAATGAGCCATCACACAACAGTGGCATCGACCTCACTAGATCATAAACGAGAAAAAACAAGAAATTT